AAAGCAGGACTTGGGAAAGTTGAACTCTCTTAATGACAATTTTCGCGGGGCCGGTGAGTCCACTACGGACCTATCTCTGGGAATAGTGAGAGGAAGGATAGCAGGGGGCGTGGCTATCCTGTGGCACAAAAAGCTGGACACTGTCATTAATGTCATCAGGCTTGAAGTTGACTGGTGTATTGCTGTACAGATCAAAATGAATAACAAGGAGTTTAGCATTCTCAATGTATATACACCATATGAGTCACAGCATAATGAAGATGAATACCTGAACAGACTTGCTTTTATACATTATTTTATTGCTGATAATCATTCCACCAGTGTTTTTGTAGTGGGTGATATGAATGCTGACATATCAGACAAAAGGTCCTTGTTTGCTAAGCATATGCTACAGTTTTGTGATGATAACAATCTTATATTATCAAGCCAAATACTTCTGCCTACAGATAGCTATTCATATATAAGCGAGGCCTGGCATACAACTTCATGGCTTGACCATTGCATAAGCACTGCTAATGCCCATGACACTGTAAGATCAATCGAGATTGTGTATGAGGCATCAATGTCAGATCACATTCCTTTTATAATGTCACTAGATTGTGATAGTCTCCCTGAGATGTCTCAGGAGGTTAAAAATGCCTGTAACACTAAAGTGGATTGGTCCAAGCTCACAAATGAGGATAGGCTATTGTACTATGGGAGAACTGATGTCCTATTGAGTGATGTATATCTACCCAAAGTGGCAACTCTGTGTGTTGATGTGGGTTGTAATGAAAACTCTCACCGTGAAGACCTCTGTAACATGTATGATTGTATTGTGGGAGCTGTATGGGAGGCCAGTAGACCGTGCTGTACCTACTCTAGGAAGAGACACAACGTCAAGCCAGGGTGGAATAAACATGTGGCTGATCAATATGCTGAAGCCAAGAATGCTTTTGGGGCCTGGGTCCAGGCAGGTAGGCCCAGAGAGGGGCCTGTCCTGGATCTCAAAAAGCGTACAAATGCTAGATATAAATATGCAGTTCGTTATGTCAACAAACACACAGAAACATTGAGAGCGGACTCTATGGCTGAAAAGCTGCTTCATAATGATGTGACTGGCTTCTGGAAGGAGGTGAGAGCTCTGAACAGGGCCAGTACGTCATTACCGTGTACCATAGAGGGAGTATCTGGAGCCGATAACATAGCTGAGTTGTGGAGGCAACATTACTCTAATATACTTAATTGTGTTAAAAGTGACCCCTACAAAGTTGGTGATGTTGTGAAGAGTGACACAGTGGGAATTACAGCTAAAGAGGTTTATCGAGCAATTGCACAGCTAGCTGATAATAAAGCATGCGGCTCTGACCGAATCACTGCAGAGCACCTTAAACTGGCAAGCCCGAAGGTTGCCGTTCTTCTTGCCATTTGTTTTACCGGCCTCATGACTCATGGTATGTTGCCAGACTCCATGTTGACTGTTACTTTGGTGCCTGTCATTAAGGACAAAGCGGGCAAGGTAGGGAGCTTGGATAACTATAGACCAATTGCTCTAGCCAGTGTGTTATCCAAAGTCTTGGAAAGAATTTTGTTAGATAGACTATGTTCATATTTATGTACCTCAGATAACCAGTTTGGCTTCAAGGCTAAGCATGGTACTGAGCTATGCATCTATGCTTTGAAGGAAATGGTAGAAACATATAGAAGACATAATTCCACTGTTCTGATTGGTTTCATTGATGCCTCTAAGGCTTTTGACCGAGTTAACCACCATAAACTGTTTTTAAAATTGAGACAAAGGGGTGTGCCTAACAGTATAATTAGGATCCTGGCTTATTGGTATGCCAACCAGAGCATGCGGATCAAATGGGGGAATGCAGTCTCTGCGCCATTTGGTGTTGGTAATGGAGTCCGCCAGGGGGGGCTCCTCTCACCATGCCTTTTTAATATCTATATGAATGATCTATCAGATGATTTAAGTGTCTGTAAAACAGGGTGTGTGATTGGTAATGTGATTGTAAACCATCTTATGTATGCCGATGATCTGGCTATTGTTTCTCCTAGCAGTGCTGGTTTTCAACAGTTGCTAAATGTTTGTTCTGATTACGGAGTCAAATTTGACGTTAAATACAATGCTAAGAAGAGCGCTGTAATGATCTGCAGAGCAAAAGGGGATAAGAACCTTTGTTTTCCAACATTCTACCTGTCAGGACAGGTGCTGTCTGTTTGCTGTAACACTAAGTATCTGGGACACATCATCACAGATGAAATGGCTGATGATGAGGACATGTATAGACAGCGGCGTGTCTTATATATGCAAGCCAACATGTTGGCTAGAAAATTCTCTTGGTGTTCAGATAAGGTTAAGGTGAACCTCTTTAGAGCTTATTGCACTCCTCTCTATACTGCCCCCTTGTGGGTCAAGTATAAGAAGGCAAGCCTCAAGAAGCTCCAGGTTGCATATAATGACTGTTTGCTATACTGCTTAGAAAACCAAGGTGGTGCAGTGCAAGTGAAATGTTCTGTAACGCACGAGTCAACACGTTCCATGCTCTTTTGAGAAATCGAATGTACAAATTCATCTGTCGATTGAATGTTTCTCATAACTCTGTCATTATGCTGCTTTCAAATCCGTGTTTCAGTGCTGTACGATACCAGTCACCTCTGTGGAAACATTGGTATAACTGCCTTTTTTAATTTATATTTGAGTGTTGTATGTTTTTGTAATAATGGACCAAGAGTCTCTTTAAATAAAAGATGATGAGTCGGACTTGACAACCTGTGCAGCCCATGTATTGATTCCTACGGTGGACCTGAAGTGCGAGACACCACAGCATTTCAGAAAACGCCACAGCATTTCACATTGGACGGAAAGGGTATTCCTTTAGGGAGAACACTTGTTTGTGATTGGACAGAGCCAGCCAGAGAAGCATTGCTGTGATTGGTTGTTTTTGCTGCCAGTCAACAAATGACGCTTCGTGATTGGACAGCACAACATGTCCCAACACATCAGTCGTTAGCTGTTGGCACTCAGAGCTCACAGCTCCTCATATCTGTTCAGAAATGCGGCTTTCACACCAGCGCTCTTCCCTTTCTAGCTCCGAGCTAGAGCTTTTCTGTGCAGCCCATGTATTGATTCCATCCGATAGCTGCTACAATACAAAACAAAACGTCTGCCTCTCTCCACAATGATCAATAGTGAACGGATGGTCAAAGTAAGGTACAAATAAACAGAATCACACGAAGCCTGGTTAGTGTTGCCTGACTTTATAAAGTGTTTTTATAAGCACTACTGCTTGTAGGCAGGCATGACAGTCGACCCATGTTCAGTTTCCTGCACGCCTCGACGTAAGAGAGACGTAAGCGACGCCACCTCTTAGCTCTGAAGCTCTTGCCTCTAGACCGACAATTTTTTGGAGCTGGAAGTGAACCGGATTCCGGAGCTAAGAGCTGGCGCCGCTGCGGTGTGAACAGGAAAAACCGGCGCTTTTCAGGCTCCAGCTCCGAGCCGGCGCTGAAAAAGCACTGGTGTGAAAGGGGCAAGACTGGACAAACCACAGACTGTCTGTGTCATGGCGAATACAGTCGCTGCTTTATTTATGTCTGTATGACGTGAGTGTGGACGGAGCAGCTACATGTGATCATGAAAATGTAGCAGAATAATGAAACTCTGAGGTCTTATTATAAAAGGCCAAACATTTACACATCAGTACAATGATAAGTCTCTTCAAATCAAATCAAGTTTTATTTATATAGCACATTTATAAACGATTTTTGGTCGAGCCAAAGTGCTGTACATCTTGAAATGTGTTTCCTTCATTTTATACCTTATTTTTTCATTGAATGTACGTGATTTTGGCATGTCCCACAGTACACTGCTCTGCTAACTACAGTGTGTGTATTAAGTGATTAAATGATACTACATTTAAAAAAAAAAAAAAAGTATATGATTTTATTGTCCACGAGTTATTTGATAAAACGAGTCATTCGTATCATGTATATTCTATTTTCATAATAATGAACATTTTGCATGTGTCCCTGACATTGCTGTCCACCCTGCCCCATAAAACATATGGATACATGTTGCTGTTTGCATGTACTTGCAGTTAATTTATAAAAAGTGCGGGAGCTTGACCAACATCCATTTCTAACTTCATAACATATACTTAATAAAATGAATATGAAGTTCAATGGAACATCTCAGCTTTTTTAATGGCAGACGGATGCAGTGGGAACACATACATCAAGTGCCTCAAGTGTCAGATGTATCTCTGCATTTCAAAAAAGGATGGAGTACTACAAATGAGGGCTCAGTATTTGTTGCATTGAGTTGTTGTGCTCTAATTTTGTCTACATGTACTTGTATGTTAATGTTGTTTGTATACTATGCTTCGCATAACTAACACCCAATGTCCTCTACAAAGGACACACAATAAAACAAAAATACAAATATTTTTTTTAGTTTGTGTTAGTCATTATGTTAATAACACCCTAAAGACTTGTGTGATCTAAACAAAAAAGGAAATTTGAAACATTTTTCTTTCTGGGTCTCAGGGGGGTATACAAAGTCATTCAAACTAGCTGAACCTTTACCAGCTTTGAGAACACTTTCATGATCAATCATTATAAAACATATATCTATTATTCTGAAATGGACCAATCTGCACAATGACTACTTTTACTGTCTCTACTTTAAGTATATGATCTCAAAAGTATTTTTGTAATACTTTAAATCTTAATGATAATTACAGAGAGGGGTGCTGAATGATCTAATTTGAATTATACATGTAATTAAGCATATGAGGGTTTATTAAATATTAACGGACGTTTAATAATCAAATCCATATATATAAGAATTATATAAATATTATTTAAAGAAATACCTTTTTCCCCCTGAATGTTGTGGAGGCTGCAGCGTTGGCCCCGCCTAGCAGCTTTCCCGCTCTCCGTCTTCTCTTAGGTCCGCAGTGAATATTTAAATACTGCCGGTCAAACTGCTTCTATCCATTCGTTCTGAACGACCCGACCCAACAAGACTTGAAAATGAGTGGAAGAGGAAAAGGAGGAAAGGGACTCGGCAAAGGAGGCGCCAAACGTCACCGTAAAGTTCTCCGTGATAACATCCAGGGAATCACCAAGCCCGCCATCCGCCGTCTGGCTCGCCGCGGCGGAGTGAAGCGTATCTCCGGTCTGATCTACGAGGAGACCCGCGGGGTGCTGAAGGTCTTCCTGGAGAATGTGATCCGTGATGCCGTCACCTACACCGAGCACGCCAAGAGGAAGACCGTGACCGCCATGGATGTGGTGTATGCCCTCAAGAGGCAGGGCCGCACTCTGTACGGTTTCGGAGGTTAAATACTCACCATCTGACAACAAAAACACAAAGGTCCTTTTAAGGGCCACCCATATCCTCAAATTAGAGAGCTCCATTCCCCCATGATACCGCATTAGTGAGCACTAGAAGTTGGTGCAGGTGAGAGTATTATGTCTTCTCTGAAAAACATGTTCAGGATCAAAATGTAAATAAAACGACTTAAATAACATAACATCCCCTGCAAATTAACATTTGTACAAGGATATGAACTGTATGGAAATACTGCTACGACTGCGTTTTGTGGTCAAAACAATAACTGATATATTTGCAAAAGGGATATAACAATGCATACTATGTTTTAAAAAGTGTAGGAATAATATCAAAGCATTACTGGAATCTGCTGATTTGACTAAATTGTACTCGCACAGTAAATACAGGTATATCTATATATAATCAGTGTTGTGCTAGTTACTGAAAACCAGTTACTAGTTATTACTAGTATTACCATTACTAGTTACTTCATGTCAAAAGTAACTCAGTTACTTTACTAGTTACTTACACCCAAAAGTAATGCGTTACTGTTTTCGTTACTTGCTAAAAGGGCTCCCATTAATGCCCTTATAGCCTTCATTTCAGTACTGTTATTGCATTGGAGAATAATACAATCTGTTGATCAACTTGACATGCATTATATGCAATCTGGATTGCATCGATATTAGCTGGCTTTCCATTCTTTCTCCAGGTAGTTGGAAAAAGTTTTCCGTCCCATATGCCGTGTGCCGCCCGGACATGCTATCATGCTAACTAGCTCCCTGAAAGCGGGTGACTCCACTGTAGCAATAGCCTGCATGTGTTCTACAAACATACCGTGCAATGGCTTTATCGACTTTTCCCTGGCTAGCAGTCCTTTGGTTAAAATCCAGCCGCTGTTGCTTAGGTGGAGGTGGAGTGGCGTCGGCTGAGTCTCTGTGGTCTTAGCTACTAGCTTCGTCCCAGCATGTTGTTTTTGCAGATGTTTTAAGAGATTTGAATGACTGGTTTGGGCAGTAGATAGGATCTTTGACCCGCCAAGACACAACTTACATTTAACTAAAACGTTCTTTTCTTTGTGCTCGACAAAAGTGAAATAGTGAGAATATCTCCAGGTGGAGAAACTAGACTTGAGCTCCGCCGCCGCCATGATAGTCTTGTTAGTAAACAACACAAACACGCCCACAGCCCGTCTCCGCATGTGACACAGGAAGTATCAAAGTACATTTACTCAAGTACTGTACTTAAGTACAGTTCTCATCTCTGTTCGCCTGGCTGTTGACTATAGAAAAAAACTAACGCAGTAACGGAGTAACGCACCATGTAGTAACGGTAACTGAGTTACTGCATTTAAAAAGTAATGCGTTAGAGTACTAGTTACTGCCAAAAATAACGGCGTTACAGTAACGCGTTACTTGTAACACGTTAGTCCCAACACTGCATATAATACAAGTTTGCAACTCACATATCATATACATATTCCTATTACCGTATAGACCAGCAGTTCCCAACCTGTGGGCCGCGGCTCCCTAGTGGTCCGCGGAGGCATTGCAAATTTTTTATTTTATGTTGGACAGGCTTAAGACACAAACATGGGCATAACAATAACATATAGGACATGACATTCCCACCTCAGACAAAAACAGAAGACATGAAGATACAGTCAGTAGGATCACTTCAACATTTCACAAACAAAAATAGGTTGACAACCAAATGCCACCAAAAACACAACATGGCGAGCATATTTATTGTTCCTTTAATCCCACTCTTCGTTAGCGCTCATTATTTCCCATTTCATGGCGTGTTGAGCCACCTTTGATTTGTTTGTGGCAATAAGTTTTTCCAAAATAAATTGTATTTTTAATCTACTCTTCAAACACCTTAAATTAAGATTACTCCTTGATTGACTTAAAATATGTATTTTAGCCAGAAGAATAGTTGTATTTATTAACTGTGTGCGTCTTGTGTCTTCATCTAAAAGCCCAAATAAAATATTTAAGGGCCGCCAAAATAATTTACAAAGCATTATGATTTGTGTGGAAACATTTTCATTATTAAGATTTTTTTTATTTTAACCTCTTTTCTTTTCTCTTTCTTGATCCTCCTTAGCAACGGTCATTACAGTCCTTGACAGCGGTCTGTTATCGTGGATTTACAATGTGTCACATGTTCAGAACTTTGTTTAGCCTCCGTATTGTTTATGGTTGAATGTGTGCCGCAACATTTTTTTTATTCTTAAGTGGGCCCTGAGTTGAAAAAGGTTGGGAACCGCTGGTATAGACTATTCTGCACAGTTTATATCATATTCTCTTTCGATTATTTTCAATTGTATTGTATTCACTTGTACTATTTTATCTGTTTTATTAAGTCAAAAGTCAACGCAGCCGTCAACCAGGACATTTTAGAGCACTTCATGCTTCCTTTTTTTGAAAAGCTGAATGCTGATTTTATTTTCCAGCAGGACTTGGCACTGCCAACATTACTAAGCCCTGGTTGAATGACCATGGACATACTGTGCTTCATTGGTCAGCAAACTCGCCTGACCTAAACGCCATAGAGAATGTATGGGGTATTGTCAAGAGGAAGATAAGAGACACAAGACCCAATGACGCTGACAAGCTGAAGGGCGCTATTGAAACAACCGTGGCTTCCATCACACCTCAGCAGAGTCGAAGGCTGATCGCCTCCATGCCACGCAGTCATTTGTGCAAAAGGAGGCCCAACCAAGTACTGAGAGCAGAAACATGAACATACTTTTTATGAGCCTGACATTTCGGTATTATTATGACTTATTAATTAAGTAACATTATAATTTTCTGAGAAACTGAATGTTGGTTTTTCATTAGCTGTAAGCCGTTATCATCTTGTTAACATGTACCAGTAGATACATGTTCCAGTTGATGGTAAACAAAACACATTTGAACAATATGAGCTGAGATAGTTATTGTTCCACTTAAGAGTTCTTAAAGAAGTTGGTTATTTGATGCTGTTGCATTTCCTCATATAGAACTATATTTTTAATGTTATAATCATAAGAAACCTCATGTTGAAGAGCTAAACAAAATTAAGTACATTGTTCTAAATTAACATTAAAAAAACATAATGTAAAAATGTAATTAAAATAGGGAAATGAAAAAATTGATATTATGTATGCACACATTTCATACATCGTGTGTGTAACATAAGGGAAACAATGTCAAGTTTACATTTACAGATCAGTGCCTCTTAAAAGCCACTCTTGTCCTTTTTATATTTTAATTAGACCATTAAATCAGCATCAAGTTTTCTGATGAGTGTCAGTGAAACATTACATTACATGTCACTTGTTAGACGCTTTTATCCAATGCAACTTACATACTCAATACTGTGGACAATCCCCACAGGAGCAATTTGGGGTGAAGTGTCTCAGGGACACAACGACATGCTGACTGCAGTGGGACTCGAACTTGTTACCCCCTGAATAGAAGTCCAGCACACTAACCACTAAGCCACAGCCTCCCAAACAGTTTAACTAAGCTGTATTTGCCACGCTGTTTGATATAATTAAAAGCCTAACTTAGTATAATGAAATGAGTCCTCCTCACCTGGAGACATGTTCACAGCGAGCAACTTTAATGGGAAGCCTGGTTAAACCGCACCCTATGCCCCGGATCATCAGTGTGTTTGCTCCTACCAGAAAACTTCACTTTATTATAATATCATAAACAAAATACAGCTGTTTTTTACAGGGAGTCCCTGGACACACATGTGGGTCACTTGAAAACAGCTTTTATCAAAGATTTGGTGCATTTGAAATGTTTTCAGTAGAAGAATTAGAGGATAAGCAGCTGAACAGTGCTGGCCACAGCGGGGGAAATGTGACGATTGGAAGCTCCACAAACAAAATTCAGTGAGCATCAGAGCTATACATACTTTCAAAATGAAGCGAATCAAGTCTGCTATCAGTTCCATTAACAGTCAGCCTTCAGCACTTTTTCCACAATGACTTTGGAGGCTTTTATCAGTGAAGAGAAAACACAAGTGGCAAAGTTTTCAGACTGCAGAGTGGCGCCATGGGCTTAGTTGAGTCTCCACGGTTCTCATGGTGTGTTTAAGGGCAGCCCCTGCTCTGCTCTCTCCAGCAGTTCAGTCAGACTCGTGTTAGTGTGAGCAGGAACAGAACACTTGAGCAGAAAATGGCAGAAGTCCCTCCAGCCGCTGCACCGGCCAAAGCCGCCAAGAAGAAGGTTTCCAAGCCGAAGGCAGCTGGCCCCAAAGTCAGCGATCTCATCGTTGAAGCTGTGGCTGCATCCAAGGAGCGAAGCGGCGTGTCTCTGTCCGCCGTCAAGAAGGCTCTGGCTGCCGGAGGCTACGATGTGGAGAAGAACAATTCCCGCGTTAAGACCACCATCAAGAGCCTGGTCGTTAATGGGACTCTGGTCCAGATCAAGGGCATCGGAGCGTCCGGATCATTCAAGATGAGCAAGAAGGTTGCCGAGCCTAAGACCAAGAAGCCCGCAGCCAAGAAAGTCGCTCCTAAAGCCAAGAAGCCCGCAGCCAAGAAACCTGCAGCGGCCAAAAAGCCCGCGGCAGGAAAGAAGTCTCCCAAGAAGGTGAATAAACCCGCAGCAGCCATGAAAGCAGCCCCCAAGAGCCCTAAGAAGGCCACCAAGAGCCCGAAGAAGGTCGCTAAAAGCCCCAAGAAGGTCGTTAAAAGGCTGCAAAGAGCCCCATGAAGGTGGTGAAAAAGGCCCCTGCAGTCAAGAAATCCCTCGCAAAGGTCGCCAAACCCAAAGCGAAGAAGGCAGCACCCAAGAAGAAGTGAGCTGTCATCAGACTGATCTGACTAAGATCCACAAAAGGCTCTTTTAAGAGCCACCCATTTTGTCATAATGAGCATATTTCTTGTGTCAATAACTGCAGTCAGAATAAGATGAGAGACGAGATGCAAAACGTCTTATTATGAACACGTTTGCTAGTATGAACATGTTTGATCTCAGACATCGAGACAGTATGTGCAATTTGATAATAATGAATAACCTTAATATTCAAATGATGTCATGGTTATTATACTTAAGGGGCAATCCGATTAACAGAAACTACTGTTGAATATGTACAAAGTCCAGAAGTGTAGTTAGCGCTATAACCAGCCCACAGCACACACAGCCCATCACACACTACAGCCACCGTTCATCCACAGATTCATGCCATTATCTTCCAAACTGTTTCTTTTGCTTTATTTCTGTTTCCATACTTGAATATTATTATACCAGTGGCCAATCTTCAATTATTTAATTTAAATGTTGTGGATTGCTTTGTCTGCAAAAGCACCCTGCATATATCTCTGATCCTTCTTTATTATTTTTTTTAGAAAACTTTATTTTATATTATTTGGGCAGTACATGATATACAAAAGTTACATTAATAATACATATAACACACAATGAATACATATATAAATAACATAAAGAGAGCACGTTTATATTCCAATGAGACTCAGCTCGGTCACAGACTCAAAACGCCCCATGGCTGAGTCTGGGATTTGTCCAGGGTTTTTCTTCTCCTTAGTTCAGTAAGTATTTGTTTCACGATGGTGCCACTGTTTATGATCGTCTGATTTAGTATCATTTTGCACCTTGTTTTCCAGATTTTCATACATGTGATACAAATTACCAGCTGAAAAAGGTCCCTGTGTTTATTGTCCATCCCCTCATCCAGAATACAATACATGATTGAGATATAATTTACATTGAAGTCTAACCCGATGCCCCGTAGGAGCGACCACACCTCCTGAGCTCTGTAGCAGTCCATGAGGAGGTGCTGTAAAGTCTCGTCCTCCTCACAGTTAATCATGGGGCATGTTCTAGTTCTCACATAGCAGCTCCATGAGACCACAGCTCTGACCGCAAGTCTGTTGACTGATATCAGCCACCTCACGTCTCTCATGCTCTCCGATAACTGTTTACTTTTTACTGATTTTAAGACTTCGTTACCTTCATCAGGTGTTAGGTTTTTGTATGTTATAACACCTCCATATTTGAAATCGTTTTAAAAATCACTCTATTCGGTAGTCCGATCCAATCAATCTCTAAAAGCTGAACTTCAGTTGTGAAGTCACCATAAACTAACTTGTAATAGGGTCCATTTCTAGCTCTGCCTCTTCTTTTCTTCCATCCCATTCCTCCATCCTCAACCCAAGGTGCTTTCCTATCGATTGCAGCCGAGATGTTTTTTACAAAGGTAATCTTTAGTTTAATGCCCAGGTCTATGGCTCCCAGGCCTCCATATTCCCTACTCTTAAATAACAAATTACGTTTAGCAACCTCCCTTGTTGTACCCCACACCAAATTGACACACTGGTGGGGGGAAGATGTTTGCTAGAAAAATGATCTTGCTGAGTATGAATGATTTTATTAAGTTTATTCTTGATTTCTAATTTGTATTTTTATTCTCCCAGTGTTGAACTTGTTCTTTGACTTCACTTAGTTTGTTCTCCCAATTGAGTTCAGCACAGTTGTCGCTACAAATAGTTATTCCAAGTATTCTTTTCACTTGAATGTTAATGTCACATTTGGCATCGTCGGTGCCGATCCAAACACCTTCAGTGTTGCTGTGGTTTAATTTAGCTCCTGATGCCAATTCATACAGGTTTAGGTGGTTTGTTAGAACATCCATTTCCTGTTGGTTTTTATAATAACAGTGACATCGTCTGGATGGGCGATGGCAGTTATTTTGGGCGCATGGCCAACTGGTGTTCCTGATATGAACCTGTCATTGTTTATTATTTTAATAAATGGATTTATGGCTATAGCACGTACAGAGCTGCGCTTAGAGGCACCCCTGCTTAATTAACCCCTCTCTCAACATGAAATGCATTTGTCAACACACCGTTTACATTTACACAGACACAAGATTTAAAATACAGACACTTAATCATGTTTATGAAGGCTTCAGGAAATCCGTAGGTCTTCATCACCGACCATAAGTAATCCCTGGATAAATAGTCGAAGGCTTTTTTTTGATCAAGTCCAATAATAAAAAAAATGTTTTCTTCTTTTGGCTTATTTATGATTTCTCTTAAAATTGATAAGTTGTCCCATAAGGCGACCTTTTATAGCACATGTTTGCTCCTTATCTATTATTTTATCTAATATATCTGTTAATCTATTCATTATTATTTTTGCTAGTATCTTATAATCAGTATTCATTATAGTTAAATGTCTGTAATTATCTATATCAGTTTCATCGTTTATTTTATATAGTAGAGTCAAGACACCTTCATAAAATGAGTCCCCCATACAACCACTGCTGAGACCTTCATTAAACATAGAGGTCAGTAAGTTTAAAACATCATCAGATAACAGTTGATAAAACTCAGTGGGCAGGCCATCGGGACCGGGGCTCTTACCGACATTCAGCTCTTTCCCCGCCTTCTCACCGAGAAGGAAATCTAATTCTTGGATGTTGTACGGAGGGATTGTTCCCAACAGTTTGTTCACAGTCCGTTTCAATGTCTATTTTTTTTATTTGCTTCAGAACATAAATCTCTTATCACTTCTCGTTTCTGTTTTTCATTATACACAATACAACCTTCTTGATTTTTTATACATTTGATGAATTTACTTTGAATTTGCTTGGTTTTAATGGCTTGAGCCAAGTTTCCTCTGATCTAGTTCAGATGTTGTATGAATATTATATAATGATTCCTGATTTAATTGATCAATTTCAGTTTGTAAAATGCATCACCTAATAAATATGTACTACTTCACACAATCAAAGGCATGCAACAGTGTATTGTAGTTTTAAGTGGTAACTGTGCAGAGCAGACAATGTTGATGCAGTTGTACTGTCTAAAACTATCTTTGTTTGACACAAATAATTTGCTTTTCAAGAGATGTGGGTGGCTCTTAAAAGAGCCTTTGGGGTGTTGGGTGAAGCGGGTTCAGGGTGTTCACTTTTTGGCGGGCTTCTCGGTCTTCTTGGGCAGCAGCACAGCCTGGATGTTAGGCAGTACACCGCCCTGAGCAATGGTCACTCCTCCCAGCAGCTTGTTCAACTCCTCGTCGTTGCGGACGGCGAGCTGCAGGTGGCGGGGGATGATCCGGGACTTCTTGTTGTCCCGGGCGGCGTTTCCAGCCAGCTCCAGGATCTCAGCGGTCAGGTACTCCAGCACAGCGGCCAGGTACACCGGGGCTCCGGCACCGACACGATGAGCGTAGTTACCCTTCCTCAGATGCCTGTGGACACGGCCGACGGGGAACTGGAGCCCGGCACGGGATGAGCGAGTCTTGGCCTTCGCTCTGGCCTTTCCTCCGGTCTTGCCTCTTCCTGACATTTTCTGTTTAGAATAGCAGAAAACAATATTTCGTCACCGATAGGTGGTGGACTATATAGTGGCCGCTGATTGGTCAGGTTGAGTGGTACTACCATCGACCAATCAGAGAAGCGTTAGTCCATTCACTGTGTCAAGTACAATAGACCTCACATAATTAAATCATCGAATAACATATACTATAAAATAGATCTGATTATACACATATACTCAAACAATATAGTGTATTCTTAGAGAAATATTATAAAATGAAGTATACTTTAAAGGATCAAAGTGAAGCACACTATAAGATAGTTTGGCATGCTGAAGTGACAAAACAAATTAACAATGTGACCATTAAAGTATATGCAATATAATCCTTGGGGGTTTAATTATTAAACACACAAAATAAAGTAAAAATAATTAATTTATTATCAAAATCAGGAGCTAATCCGATCTCCTCAAGTGAATTAAGAGTCACAATTATATGTAGCATTAAATAAGTTTCGATCCACACATATTAAAATAAAATGAAATACTATGTACATTTATATGAGCAATGTTATATAGGCCTACAAAATATGTACATAGGGTTTATACACAATCAAGTATATGGGAAAATATGTATGTTGTGAGTGACTCTAGGAGGAGCCTTCTGTGAAGTAGATGTCTACTAATATAGCAACATAATAAAATGTGTTGTACATTTTTTTTTATAACGATTATGACAATATTAATGATATAGAATTCAATGTTACAATAATGTTAATAAATATCGTTTTGATTGAAGTCATCTTCTAATTAACTAACTTATACGATAATGATAAATAACCACAATGTCTTCTGGTTTTGCAAATAAATATGTAGCAGGTGTAACACATTTGAGGCAAAATAACTCAATTTTGAATGATACAACATCTACAAATAGAGAATATACTTAAAAAATATGAATCAGTTTTGATTTGAGTTTAATCTTGATCATCTGCATATAAAAATGTGTTTGCTAACTTAAATGTTAAATTACATTCTCTTTTGTTCAAACTGCTTATAGCCTAGTTCATGGTGACATTAAGGCCATAACGTGTTAGACAATCACAAGGAGAAAATGCTTATCTTCTAAAATATGCCACAAGCCAAACATATATATATTTGTAAAACACTGAACAAAAATATAAACGCAATACTTTTGATTTTGCCACCATTTCTCACGAGCTGAAATCAAACATCTAAAACCAAGTTCTCAGTGGGTCTCAAACGGTTTGGTCACCATTTATGTAAACACGTATTTCCATTTGAGGGGGTAGTGATTAGTAAAATATGCATGAATAAAAAATAAAAAAGTTAACTAGGTGAAAAAAGGTAAGATACACTTTTAAAACTTGTTGAGAGCTAAAACTAGTCTTTGCTGCTGCCTCAAAGAGGAGCAGGGGGAGAGGAGGGGGAGGAGGGAGAGGGGGCAGAGGGGGGAGAGGGGGGAGAGGGGGGAGAGGGGGGGGGGACAGGAGAGGCTGATTCAGGAGCACAGACACACTCACAACTATAAATTAACCAAAAATAAATAAATAAACAAGTTTCAGTGTCTTTTCATATTGGAAATGGGATGTTATTGGTTATGGCCATGATTTTATGATTATTGATATGTATACAGTTCTGTTTCATACAGGTGTTCCCATCGATCTAGTCTCTTTATTTCCCCTTCAAAATGCACCAGATTGATGCATTTAACTCCAAAATAAAAATAAAAACCTTACATGGACAGGTTCCTAAATACATTTAAAAAAAAATTTAAAAATAGTATCCCATGTCCATATGTTTATTTGTGGGTAGTAGATTTAAACTATAGGGCTATCACTATGGGCCCTGCCTGTTCGCTCTGCCATCGCGTGAAGGGTCTGCTAACAAGCGACCAACAGAAAGGTTCATGTTAATGTTGTTGCACGTTACAAAGGCACGTCACCTCAACCCCCACCCCCCAAGTATATTTCAGATCTGTGGGAAACACTGCATGTATTACATGTAGGGTGTCAGAAAACCAGTGAGTTTCTGGTGTGACCACCATTTGCCTCACGCAGTGCAACACATCTCCTTTGCATAGAGTTGATCAGCTCTTCAATGGCTGACACTGACAGCATGTTGATGTGCCACCTGTGAGGTGATTGAATATATTGGCAAGGAGTGCTCACTGACACAGATTTAGACACATTTATAAACAATATTTGAGATAAATATGCCTTTTGTGTTCATAGAAAAAGTCTGATTGAAAAAGATCTTTAATTATGCTCCAAATATCTGGAACATGCAGGTCCTCTTACTTCTTTTAAATCCAGACGGAATACTTTTATTTGTGCCGCTGCTTTCAATTGAACAATTAATATCTCACACTGCACTGAAACTTTTATGTATGTACCTGTTATTCATGTTTTATTATCTTTGCTTTTAAATTAGTTTTTTAAAATGCCATTTTATAATATGTTTCCGCTGCACTATTTCTTAATGCTCTTAATACTAAAAGCACATTTACAGTATTATTTGAATCCCATAAATACATGTGATTGGCAAGAGTGTTTAAACATTTGTCAGAGTTTTTAACTGTGAGCAAATTAGGTGATTAAATAATAATATTGTAGTATCATCGTGGTGGAAATCTAAAGATTAAAGCTTTGATTAACCACTTTTTCAGAACCAGCTCCAATTATAATACAAGATAAACATGAAAGCAAACAGTAATAAATGCCACCATATTAAATAGTAAATATAATATTGTGATTATACAAGTGTGAGGATTATTAAAGCGATAAACAATCAATGATGTAAGACAAAATATATATTTCAAAAACAATGCAACAGGCTTAGGTTTACTGCATGATACAAGTTAAAGGTCTTTTCAAAGTAAAGAATAAGTTGTATAAATAAACATGAATTGTATGAGCATTCACTTGAATGTGTGAGAAATACTTGTAAATAATCTTACATTTCGAGATTTCTAAAGCAGAAACAAACAAAACACACTGACTCTCCATCAGAGCAGGAGCACAGACCTAAGCCTCTTTTGAGTGTGTTTGCAGAGTTCAAATGAACCTCTGCTTCATACAGATTCAATAAAAACTATTACTGTGTTTGACCTTAAATCTATTAGAAAACATATACTCTCAACATATATCTAGTTTTAATAAGATTACAAGGTATTTTAAAGTATTTCGGAAGACATTTAGAGAGGAAAGTCACAGATTAGCGACTCACACGGTAGTAGTTTGGGAAGGTTCAGAGTCTTCCCAGTAATAATATACAAATATATTGAGGTTTATTTCAATTTTGCATGAAGAGAAACTCCTTTGCTATCGTTTAGGGTGAATTTTACACTATATTGTTTCCTCCAGGTGTGATTTTATGACATGTGTTCGTGAAGAGAAAACACAGAGTGGCACAGTGCTGCTCCTGTGAGACAGATTGAGTCTCTACGGTTCTCATGGTGTGTTTAAGTTCGGCTCTTTGCTGGGATTTCTCTCTCAGTCTCACCGAGTCCAGAGAATCCACTTTGAAAGCAACATGGCAGAATCCGCTCCCGCCGCACCGGCCAAGTCCCCGAAGAAGAGAGCCACCAAGCAGAAGAAGGCGGGCCCCAGCGCCGCTGATCTCGTGCTGAAAGCCGTCACCGCCTCCAAGGAGCGTAAAGGGACTTCCTATGTCGCCCTGAAGAAGGAGCTGGCCGTTAAAGGCATTGACAACGCCAACCAGGTGAAACGCGCCGTGAAGAAGTTGGTGGAGAATGGAGCCCTGGTGCAGGTCAAGGGAACCGGAGCCAGCGGCTCCTTCAAGGCCGCCGCGAAGCCCAAGAAGGTAGTGAAGAAGCCCGCCGCCAAAGCCAAGAAGCCGCCGGCAGCAGCAGCGAAGAAACCCGCCGCGAAGAAGCCAGCAGCCAAGAAGGCAGTAACACCCAAGAAGGTAGTGAAGAAGCCTGCTACTGCTGCCAAGAAAACCCCCGTGAAGAAGATCACAAAGAGCCCGAAGAAGAAGGTGGCGGCCAAGAAGGCAGCACCCAAGAAGGCAGCGACCCCCAAGAAAGCTGTGAAGAAGGTGGTTAAACCAGCTGCCAAGACAGCGAAGAAGGCACCAGCCAGGAAAGCATCGAGGAAGTAAACAGAACATCTACTTCATCTCCAAAAGGCTCTTTTAAGAGCCACCCACATACACCAAAAGAGCACTTCTCCTGTTTAATATTATAAATGTTGCATAAATACAACTCTAAAGAAAACGTTCTTCACATATTTGGTGTATTGAAGGAAACGACATACTGCTCCCATGTGTTATTGAACATGTTCCATGATCTCATACCGCATGGTATTTACCACAATGGCAAATATTCTTACCCATTTATCACAAGTTACATCTAACATAATAATCGCATATCTAAAGTACCCTACCTTGATAAAAGTTTGCTTTACTTTATACACACTTTATAGCATACAATATACTAAAGTGTTTTATAGAAAATATATTATTATTATACATTAGACATTTACATAGTTATAATACAAGCACTTTGAATTGAATTGTTTTTATACTGGCCAATCACTAGCTACAAAATATGGTCATTTTTAAATCTTATAAATGTGAGTATGGCCAGAAGAAAAGCAGGACCAATATCAATGTGTTATTGTAGGGATTCATTTCTTACAATTAATACATCATAAATGAAATATTATCTTTTTAATACAAATGTATTTTTATTAAATAAAGTCAATAGATAATGGATGTGTATATTTATAACAATCATTTAGTCAAGCAGAAAATAGTAAAGCCATAAACAGTATTTAAAGAATATAATTTATAAATGATGACTGATGTTATTCATAATTTAGTAATCGAGTGTTTAATCCTAATTATATAGTTTGTATTGAATGTAAAGAAAAAACATTGTTTATTTTTATGACTTAAATCATTTGACTCTTGTACTTTGAGTTTTAAATAAAGTTGTGGAGAAAAAAATGTTGTTTCTTCTAGGCGCGCTGCTGTATCACGTGATAACATTGGACCAATCAGTGTCGTTGCCGCCCCAGCTCACACTATATAATGGCGACAGAGACCAGTCGTTACCAGTCGTAACGATTAAGTTGTAACGATTAAGTTGTAATGATTAAGTTGTAATGATTAAGTTGTAATGACAACGACTGAGTCGTTGTCATTACAACTTTTCCAACACAGAAGTTGACTCGCTCTAGCCATGGCAAGAACCAAGCAGACCGCCCGAAAGTCCACCGGAGGCAAAGCCCCCAGGAAGCAGCTGGCCACCAAGGCTGCTCGTAAGAGCGCCCCGGCCACCGGCGGAGTGAAGAAGCCTCACCGTTACAGGCCCGGTACCGTGGCTCTGAGAGAGATCCGCCGCTACCAGAAATCCACCGAGCTGCTGATCCGCAAGCTGCCCTTCCAGCGCCTTGTGAGAGAAATCGCTCAGGACTTCAAGACCGACCTGCGCTTCCAGAGCTCCGCTGTCATGGCTCTGCAGGAGTCCAGCGAGGCTTACCTGGTCGGCCTGTTCGAGGACACCAACCTGTGCGCCATCCACGCCAAGAGGGTCACCATCATGCCCAAAGACATCCAGCTGGCCCGCCGCATCCGCGGAGAGAGAGCTTCGACCCGAAAAGCCAGCCCATTCAAACCCAAAGGCTCTTTTAAGAGCCACCTCACTCTTCACTGAAGTGCTCATTCCTCTATATTTTGACATTTGTTACCAACAAACACTGGCCAAGATTAGAACCATTAGTTTAGTAATAACAAAGTTACATGGTTGGGTATAATGACTCGTTCAGACATTGGTTAGATAGTCATTCTATGCACAATTTTTCATTTAGTATGGGACTTGTTTCCTTTACATCTCTAACACTTTGAATCGTGTCCGTTAATATCCAGCATTAAATCAACTTAATCTCAACATAATAAAATGTGCAATCATAAACACTAATACAATGTTCCCCTTGTCCACTATTGGTAAATCACGGTGTTACAGTGTAACTGGAGTCATGACAACTGGCGGCATCCTGCTATGCTTGTCACATGGATCCGGGGCGTGTCCATTGAGGAGCCATTGTGGACTTAGCAGGAAATAAACATGTCGATCACCTCGTTTGTCGTTTACATTCATATTTTGCTATATCTGCCTTCCTAACATCACTTTGATGCACATTCTCTACTCCTATGTGAGGTTGTGGGTGAGAGGTCGATATCGCGACCCTTACAGAGAGGTATCGGAAATTACAAAGTAGGTGACTGTGTGGATGCCTGTTCAAAACATTGAAAACTTGAATACATCATTTAAATTATATATTTGCCCGAAAGCAGCATCGAGATGACTGGATCATCTGTGACAAGCTGTGATCAGCTCCGATTCAATTGTGATATCAATTCTGTAGCTATTCTCCAGCGAGCAAGGCTTTGTATGAAATACCTGTATCCCTCTCATCACAACAAGACTCTACACTGTGCAGGAAAACAAATTACATACATGAAAATAACCTTGATGCATAGCTTGGAATGAATCAAACTATCTTCCATGGCTAATAATACTGATATGTCACAGTAACGTAAACCACAGAAAAGTAAGTCCAGAATATACTAACTAAATTAACTGAGCAGATCATAATAATATTTCTAATTGTGCATATGTCACTCCGGGTTTACTGTGAATGTTTATGACATCAGTGTCACAATGATATTCATCTAATTTGTTTCATAACAATTTGATCAAGAAATGTTTCCACAGCAGAAAGGAGCCAAAGACAAGTTTAACAAAGGACATTATGATTGTGTTTTACTTTGAGGCTGTCTGAAGGTGTGGACAGCTATCAAAGCTAATATACATCACATTAAGAAAGATGTAGAAATGAAAGTCGGACACAAATATATAAATTAAATGATTTATTCAAGTTTACAATGTTTTGAACAGGCATCCACTCAGTCACCTACTTTGTCATTTCCAATACCTCACCCACAACCTCACATAGGAGTAGAGAATGTTCATCAAAGTGATGTTAGGAAGGCAGATATAGCAAAAGATGAATGTAAACGACAAAACGAGTGAGTCACATTCCTGTGACAAGTTACTGTAACACCGGTAGCTAGGAAAGATGCACGACTCTACTACATGCACATACAATAGAAAAACACATAGGTAGGAAGCACTCTTTAAGGAGGTTTGTGTGGCTCTTAAAAGAGCCGTTGGTTTGTTCTTAATGAGTCGGGTAGTTTACTTCTTAGCGGCCTTCTCGGTCTTCTTGGGCAGCAGCACAGCCTGGATGTTGGGCAGCACACCGCCCTGAGCGATGGTCACTCCTCCCAGCAGCTTGTTGAGCTCCTCGTCGTTGCGGACAGCCAGCTGCAGGTGACGGGGGATGATACGGGTCTTCTTATTGTCGCGGGCAGCGTTTCCAGCCAGCTCCAGGATCTCAGCCGTCAGGTACTCCAGCACAGCCGCCAGGTAGACGGGGGCCCCGGCTCCGACACGATGAGCATAGTTACCCTTCCTCAGATGTCTGTGGACACGGCCGACAGGGAACTGGAGCCCGGCACGGGAGGAACGGGTCTTGGCCTTTGCTCTAGCTTTTCCGCCAGTTTTGCCTCGACCTGACATTCTGGATAGATTTTGATATTACGTTGAAGAAGAAATGTGTCACTGCCGGTCAAGACAAATTATATATACACCAAACTGATTGTTGATTGGCCGTCTTGAGCGTATCTATCATCGTCCAATCGGTGGAAAGCTTAGGGTGCGTATCCTTCATCATCCAATCGGTGGAAAGCTTAGGGTGCGTATCTCTCATCGTCCAATCGGTGGAAAGCTTAGGGTACGTTTCCTTATGTCACATAGCCTCCTCTTTACACTGTTACTTCAAAAATAAAAGTATGTAATGTCTTGTTGCTTAACTTGCTTTGTTTGTCTGCCCGTGGACTTTGTTGCGTGTAGAATATATGATATTCAATAAAGAAAAAAGAACAACATCAAAAGAAAAATCTGGAGATAAGACTTTATTTATCCCCAAGGAAATCGAGTGCCAGAGTTGCAAAATATGAAATATAATAATCATATATCTATAGCATCTCCTGTTGGCGGTACGAAGACACGAGGATAGGAGTCGAGAAGAAAATCTATAACATAAATTACAATGAGACGTGCAGCGGATGTTAAGGTCAGACGCCCAAAACAAAGCGAAAGATGCAACACAGCTCTACATGTAAATGCTTTGAGAGGTTATACAGTAACAGGAATATTTATATGATATGTGAGTTGCAAACCTGTATTATATATAGATATACCTGTATTTACAGTTTGAGTACTTCCTATTGCAACAGTGTAGTCGAATCAGTTTTACATTCCAGTAGATTCCAGTAATCCTTTGATATTATTCCTACTCTTTTTTTTTAAAACATATTATGCACATGGTTATATCGCTTTTGCAAATACATCAGAGTTATTGTTTTGACTAGTGATGTTACGTATTGCGCCGAGGCTTCGGAGCGTGTGTCGAGTAATCCCCGAAGCTTTTTGTGAAGCATGTATCGAGGCTTGTATCGTTTTGGGCCAGTGACGTCATCGATGACAAACGAAGCCTCGCTGCCTGTCGATACCACGTGACTGCTTCACGAAGCGATTCAGATCGGTTGAACCGTTGAACCACAACGCTCATAATACCCATGGATGTATAATAAGAACCATATTACCCCTCCTGTACCCGGCGGGCCCGGTGACACGATGGAATCAAGAGAGCTCAGACCCTCACTTATAGAGGTCGGAACATGTCATAATAAATAAATACAAGCATAAATAAATGTAGGAATAAAAACATCAATAAATACAGGAATACATATGCTTCAGTATTTTCAGGGAGCTTTAGTGTGTGCTGTGGCTCAGCTGGAAAGCAGTTGACTCATGACCGCAGGGTCCCTGGTTCAACGACTGAACAATACGTATTTTTGTTTTTTATAAAAGCTACAGCTAAATGAGATAATGTAGTTAATACATGTATTCTTTGATATGGTTAGCCTTTCTCAGGCTACAACATGGTTAAGTTTATGAATATTATTAAGGAATATAAATCCCTCCTTAGGCTTTTCAATCACAATCATTAAACTGGAATAAATACAATATTGTTAACATGAAAATATGTTATGTTCGTTGTTTAGATGTATTCTAAGGCTTTACTCATTGGGAACTCGGTATGAGATAGAGCACTGTTGAGATGTCCAACCTGCCTGTTTTACACACTTTGACCAACAGGGGGTTTGTGTTCAAATGAAGCCCATGATGAAGCCTCATGAGATGAACCCTTTTGCGAACCAATTGGCTGGAAAGCTTCATCTCGCCATCACTAGTTTTGACCACAAATCGCAGTTTTCTATACAGTATATGTCCACATTTTCATTTGCAAGGGATGTTATTTTAGTTGTATTGACATTTTGATCCTGAACATGCTTTTCATAGACAAAAAATACTCTCGCCTGCATCAACTTCTAGTGCTCACTAATGCGGTATCATGAGGGAATTGAGCTCTCTAATATGAGGATATGGGTGGCCCTTAAAAGGACCTTTGTTTTTGTTGTCAGATGGTGAGTATTTAACCTCCGAAACCGTACAGAGTGCGGCCCTGCCTCTTGAGGGCATACACCACATCCATGGCGGTCACGGTCTTCCTCTTGGCGTGCTCGGTGTAGGTGACGGCATCACGGATCACATTCTCCAGGAAGACCTTCAGCACCCCGCGGGTCTCCTCGTAGATCAGACCGGAGATACGCTTCACTCCGCCGCGGCGAGCCAGACGGCGGATAGCGGGCTTGGTGATTCCCTGGATGTTATCACGGAGAACTTTGCGGTGACGCTTGGCTCCTCCTTTGCCGAGTCCCTTGCCTCCTTTTCCTCTTCCGCTCATTTTCTAGTCTTGTTGGGTCGGGTCGTTCAGAACGAATGGGTAAAAGCAGTTTGACCGGCAGTATTTAAATATTAACTGCGGACCTAAGAGAAGACGGGGAGCGGGAAAGCTGCGGGCAATGTACTTCCGCCCCATGGGACCTTATTTCGCAAAAATGATGTATTGAAATCAATGGGGAGATTTAAAACTAAAACGGTAGAAGAAAATATATCTAAATTAAAAACTGAAATTGATCAATTAAACCAGGAATCATTATATAATATTCATACAACATCTGAAATAGATCAGAGAGGCAACTTGGCTCAAGCCATTAAAACCAACCAAAAGCAAATTCAAAGTAAATTCATCAAATGTATAACAAATCAAGAAGGTTGTATTGTGTATAATGAAAAACGGAAACGAGAAGTGATAAGAGATTTATGTTCTGAAGCAAATAAAAAAAAATAGACAATGAAACGGAGAAAAGAAAAAAAAAGGGAGAGAAAGATTATCTTTCGACCGCGTTTGAATTGTGTCACGAATTACACATATGATGTTTGTCAATCTTAAAAAAATAATTTCCATGTCAAAAAAGTAACAGTTTATCGTAAAATTGTTGAAATATAAGGCTATGAAAAATACGCAACTAGAGTCGTGCATATTTCCTAGTTACCGCAGTGACTGGCCAGTAGTGGACAAGGGGAACATTGGAGGCTACTAGTGTTTACGATTGCAAACTGCTAACATCTTTCCTAGCTACCGGTGTTACAGTGTAACTGGAGTCATGACAACTGGCTGCATTCTATTATTTTCGTCAGAGGGATCCGGGGCGTGTCCATTGAGGACATTGTGGATCTACCAGGAAATAAACATGCCGATCGCCTCGTTTGTCGTTTACATTCATCTTTTGCTATATCTGCCTTCCTAACATCACTTTGATGCACATTCACTACTCCTATGTGAGGTGGAGGGGTGAGAGCTCGATATCGTGACGCTTACAGGGAGGTATCGGAAATGACAAAGTAGGTGACTGTGGATGCCTGTTCAAAACATTGCAAATTTGAATAAATCATTTAAATGATATATTTGTGTCCGACTTTCATTTGTACATCGTTCTTAATGTGATGTATAGTATCTTTGATAGCTGTCCATACCTTCAGACAGCCTCAAAGTAAAACACAATCATAAAAATGCTTACATGACATGTCCTTTGTTAAACATGAAGCTGTCTGGCTCTTTTCTGCTGTAACACATGTACATTTCCCCTCTGTGGGGCGAATAAAGGTATTCTGATTCTGATTACATTTAACCTGTTGTGGAAACATTTCTTGATCAAATTGTTATGAAACAAATGAGATAAATATCGCTGATATCACATCGGGACATTAATCCTAAACAGTCACAATAAACCCGGAGTGACATATGCACAATTAGAAATATTATTATGATCTGCTCAGTTAATTTAGTTAATATATTATTTATTATTCAATTCAAATTATGTTCCAACAAATGTAAACCAAAAAATCATCCTCATTAATTTAGTTATAAATAAGAGTTACTTTACCATTAAAGCTCAATGTGACATATATGTCACATTTCAGATATGTGACACTAAGGGGGGGTTTCTTGTCAGAAATGTATTATAGGTGGTCTATTTAGTCACTCTAAATGACGTCCCCCTTTAATCTCTTTCCTTATGGGTTAAACGTATCGCTTAAAGGCATAACAGAACTACCGTATTATATGGATTCAACTTGTAGGCCTACTTGTACTTTTCTGTGGTTTAGATTAGCCATGGAAGATAGTTTGTTTGTTTCATTCCAAGCTATGCGTCAAGGTTATTTTCATGTATGTAATTTGTTTTCCTGTACAGTGTAGAGTCTTGTTGTGATGAGAGGGATACAGGTATTTCATACAAAAACTTGCTCGCTGGAGAATAGCTACAGAATTGATATCACAATTGAATCGGAGCTGATCACAGCTTGTCTGATGATCCAGTCACCTCGATGCTGCTTTCGGGCTGTGAATAAACAACTTGTGTTTTACTTTGAGTCTGTCTGAAGGTGTGGACAGCTATCAAAGCTACTATACAATGTACATCACATTAAGATCGATTTACAAATGAAAGTCGGACACACATATATAATTTAAATTATTTATTCAAGTTTACAATGTTCTGAACAGGCATCCACACAGTCACCTACTTTGTCATTTCCGATACCTCCCTGTAAGCGTCACGATATCGAGCTCTCACCCACCACCTCACATAGGAGTAGAGAATGTGCATCAAAGTGATGTTAGGAAGGCAGATATAGCAAAATATGAATGTAAACGACAAAACGAGACGATCGACATGTTTATTTCCTGGTAAATCCACAATGGGTCCTCAATGGACACGCCCGGATCCCTGTGACAAGTTACACTGTAACACCTTGATTTAATGCTGAAGGAAACAAGTCCCATACTATATGAAAAATTGTGCATAGAATGACTATCTAACCAATGTCTGAACGAGTCATTATCCCAAACCATGTAACTTTGTTATTTAGGAGCCATTTTATTGGTTTGTCAGTGTATTTAAGTTATACGTATAGTGCAATATTATTTTTGAACACTGGGTGGCGGGGTTTAGCTGCACCGGTTGTATATAAAGAGGTCATAGGTGACAGGAGAGGGCAGAACACAGAAGGAAGAGAACATACCGATTCCACCAGCCCGGCAGATGCTCACCACACAACAACTGAACTGTATAATTAAACCCTGAATAAACCTCATTATAAACTGCAACAAAGGACCGGAAAGTCATCTGTATGTGTCTGCGTCTGGATCACTCTTCAGCCCTTCTGTGAAGTAATGGCAAACATATAGGACATAGGAACAGGAAATTGCCATTAGTTATTACTAAACTAATGATTCTAATCTTGGCCAGTGTTTGTTGGTAACAAATGTCAAAATATAGAGGAATGAGCACTTCAGTGAAGAGTGAGGTGGCTCTTAAAAGAGCCTTTGGGTTTGTATGGGCTGGCTTCGGGTCAGTCTAAGCTCTCTCTCCGCGGATGCGGCGGGCCAGCTGGATGTCTTTGGGCATGATGGTGACCCTCTTGGCATGGATGGCGCACAGGTTGGTGTCCTCGAACAGGCCGACCAGGTAAGCCTCGCTGGACTCCTGCAGAGCCATGACAGCGGAGCTCTGGAAGCGCAGGTCGGTCTTGAAGTCCTGAGCGATTTCTCTCACCAGGCGCTGGAAGGGCAGCTTGCGGATCAGCAGCTCGGTGGATTTCTGGTAGCGGCGGATCTCTCTCAGAGCCACGGTACCGGGCCTGTAACGGTGAGGCTTCTTCACTCCGCCGGTGGCCGGGGCGCTCTTACGAGCAGCCTTGGTGGCCAGCTGCTTCCTGGGGGCTTTGCCTCCGGTGGACTTACGGGCGGTCTGCTTGGTTCTTGCCATTGTAGTTTCTCTGTGTTCACAGTTCAAGACAGTATAACCCTCGCCGAGAACAGCGGCTTTATAAAGGAACTGCCGGAGTCAGGTCAGCGCTGATTGGCCCAGGGAAGATGACACGTGCGCTGTAGCTTATCAACTATTCGACGAAAGTAATTTGAAAAACGAAGCCTCTTCTTAACAGAAGCTGCACCGCCAAAAAAAACGAGTGAATAAGAAGAAAAGCAGCTGCCCTAAAGGCCTCTGATTGAATACCTTTGTTTAGTTTAAAGTGAGACTAAACAAAGATAGCAGATTGTTTTTACTCTCTGTAAATAATAAACTAGTATTTGTTCCATGAGCCTTTAGAGGGGATATTAAGACATACCTGTTAAAGCCTCACTGTTTTATTTGTACTTATGAGTGAAAGGTTAACAATAGTTATTCTATCAAAATACATCAACAAGCAAAGTCAGAGTTAACCATAACTCTAACTGCTACCTTGTCCTGAAAGGCAAATCTCCCAAAATACAATATCTAGTTTAACAAACAAAAAAAGAAAAGGAGTTTATAAATTCATTTACACACACAAAAGTAGTCACCTTAAAACACACCAATAACATTAAGAAATCATATTGAATTAACTGAGAAAAAGTGCAGAAACTAAAGCTTTCCATCTTTTTTTAAATTTTTTAATTTATCCAGATAAATCCCATTGAGATCATTGAACTAATTTACAAGGGAGACCTGCTCAAGTAGGTTCCACATGAAACATAAAAACATTAACAGAACAACAAAAGGACATTTTACATCATCATCACAGGGATTACAATTTACATAACTATCCACATGTACAGGTACCAGCAGCTTCCGATTGAGTAGCATCCAACCGAGCTTTAAAAACATTTAGTGGCACCAGATTGTTCAGTTTCCATTTCAGTTGCAGACTATTCCAAGACAGAGGAGCTGCACATCTAAAAGCTGTCTTCCCTAAGACAGTCCTAGCAGTTGGCACATTTAATAAAACTACAGCATGCGATCTCAGGCAGTAGCCACTTACAATTCGCCGTGAGATCAGGGAGAAGATGTAGGATGGAAGTTTCCCTAACATGGCTTTGTAAATAAAAATGTACCAGTGACTGAGCCTCCGTACAGTTAGTGAAAGCAAACCTGCCCTTGCATACAGGGTACAGTGATGCGTTAATGCTTTACAGTTTGTCACAAATCTTAGCGCGCTGTGATACGCAGCATCTAACTTGATCAGGTAATTGGCAGGTGCATTCATATAAATCAAATCACCATAGTCCAGCACAGGTAAAAAGGTCACAGTGACTAGCCTTTTCCTGGCCTCAAGCGAGAAACAGGACTTATTTCTGTAAAATAAACCTAGCCTAATCCTACTTTAGTGCCGGCACTAAAGTACCACGGCACTGAATCCGCCTGGGTGCTAGTGCCATAGCCGCATTCACACCGCAGGACTTTCCCTGAGGCAAGATTACGCTGATGTCACTTCATCTTCTTGTTCTCTGGGTTTACTGGCAGGCCGCAAAACCACTTCACGGCGAGTACAACAAAAAACGAGAGAAGAAGAACTACACGGGGGAGGGGGTATAAAGCCCACCCGCTGTATGAGGCGTTTGTTTAATTTCCGACCTCAGACATGATGGAGTTCATAAGGGTAATTTACAAATAAAATACCCCATTATAACAATGGACTTTATCTTTATGTATTTATTATATATTACCCCCTCAGGCTGATTTTGGCAAAGGACATTAACCCTTGTTTGGTGTTTTTCCCCTTATTTATCTAAAACAAATGACATGATAAATTACTTGTGTTTATGTGTGTAAGACTTGTGTTTCTGCCCCTGCCATTGCTGCACAAGGTTGCAACATTGTAGATCAATTCAACCACCGACACCTGTCTGCTCTCACATTCTTCTATTCTGCAAATTTGGGGTGGGACACAATAAATAAAGCTTCGCCAGTTTGTTTGTTTTATTGCACAGTCAAGACATAACAATAACGGCATCACGCTGTTCCAGGTGTGTCGTATGCATGTAAATTGAAGTTAAATAAAAGTATGAAATGTAAAATAAAGTGTAAGTAGTTTCAAAACAATGTAACAGTGGCAATATATAGCAGCAGACACACCTTAGTGCAAGTTAGGTGTCAGTATTAAAAAACAGTGGCAATATATATATATATAATAACAATAGAAAATCGTTACCACTCTTATTATTGTGGTCTTTAATTTTTTTATAGTCCTGCCTGAGTTTCTTTATTTTTACCCGGCATCCGTGTGCACTGTGCACGATTCCCAGCTCAAGTAGCTTTTGCGAACATCGCTCAAAACATTTAGAGTTGGGAACTGCTTTCTGTAGAAGCTGCTGCATCCCGTCCTCGGAGTAAATTTGCCAGAGGCGCCGACACTTCCTCATCATTCCACCGCTCCGGTGTTGTACGTGTAGTCATGCTTTAAAGTACAAACAACCTATTCGCTCAAGTTAAGATAATGTGTATGTAGAAACACTGATTAAATAAAGTGCGTGTTCTCTGACGAAAATCTAAAAATGAGTCAGTGAAGGATGGAGATAATCAAAATAAAAGATGGAAGAAACATATTAATACCACACTGTATGAAGTAATACACTAGAAGTAAAAGCAGTGCAGTAAACATGTTCCTTCAAGTGTTTACATTATCATGAAAAGGCGGATAAGGATGTCCCAGACCGAGTGTTATATCATTATATCTAATATCACTTATTAGTACTACTTGTACATGTAAGAGCAGGATGTTATGAAACTGTTTAGTTCTGATTAATTCTTGTTTTATTTATTTGTTACCTCTTGAAAATCTCTTTCCACATTGTTGTGCGATACATTCCTCGTTGAGATTATTACTGATACTGCCTGCTTCTTAGTTATTCCATCTTTTGCTGGTACAAGAATCTGTATCTAACTCTATGTTTCCTTGTTATCTACCTCACTTCCTTCTACATGTTACACTTATTTCATAAATAAGGGAGGATACGATGGACCTTTATTCATCCCTGTTTGTGGATATTCAGGAGTTAAAGCAGAAACAGAGTGAGAGTGAAAAACAGGACAGTACAGATTCACAAGGATAAAAAATGATACACAAATAAAATAATATAGTAACTGTTGTGATAAATAGATATTTGGGTTCGGATTGTTAGATATATTGACATGTAAGTGTACAGGTGTTTGTACAAACAGTACAGTTACTGTTACTTGGTTCCAGGTTCGGCCCCTGGCTGTTCAGCCTGACGGCTCTAGCTACAGAGGACTGTCCGAGGAGGGATGAGTCTGAGGGAGGACGTACTCCTCATATTTATATCCCCCTGAATGTGTTCCTGTTTTTTGATCATGTTTTATTTTAAAATGGAAGTGCTGTATTGTGTATTATGTAACTTTGCTGTCTGGGACAAATAAAGGTCTTCTGATGTACCCCAAAGCTGTTTGTCATTTTCAATTTCTTTGACCATATTTAATCAAATAAATGTGTATTGTCAATAGGTTTAAAACATATCTGAACTATTTTTGATAGCTTTTAACTAGGGCCGGGACTCGATTAAAAAAATTAATCTAATTAATTAGAGGCTTTGTAATGAATTAATCGAAATGAATCGCATTTTTAATCACATATAAATATTTGACCTAAGAACAGTGAGAAGCACTGTGGATTTTTTTTCACATGGATTTTTTTTCACATGGATTTTAGTATATCATTAGGCGCATTCACACCGCAGTACTTTTCCCACAAAGATCTATGAGAACTTAGTTCATGAGAACTCTTTGAACCTGGGGGTGGATTAGGCAAATGAAGCCGCTGACGTCACTTCTTCTTCTTCTGCTTTGGGTTTACTGGCAGGCCGCAAACCACTTCACGGCGTATACTGCCGCCCAAAGTCCCCGGCCGGAAGTCCCCGGAGTTGGGGACTGGCTTCAGTAGAAGCTGCTGGGAGTCCCAGTAGCTTCTACTGAAGCCTTCCGAGTAAATCGACAGAACGCCGACACCTCCTCATCTCCACCGCTCCCATGTTTTATTTTGTGTTGCCATAAGTTAGTCTCTCCGCGTTTCTGCGCTGGGCTAATGCTAATAATGCTAATGCGAGGATAATAAAATGGCGGCTTCACAAAACTTTTTGGGAGTTTTACGGGGCGTGGTTTTCAATCCGCCCAGCCAATCAGAAATATAGCTCTTTTCTCACAAGAGAGCCGTACGAAAGTCCCTGCTCTCTAGCAGCTCTCTGCTCTCTAGCAGGGACTTTCGTGGGGGTAAAAAGGTTCTCATGAACTAATTTTAGTACCGGCTCTTTTTGGTGTGAACGCGATAAAAGAGGCTAACGTCCACGCTAGCTGCTATATGTTTTGCATTGAGGTGATACTTGAGGCTTGATGTGCTGCGGTGATATGCGAATTCCTTTTTGCATAATTTGCACACAACCGTGCTCTTATCGACGCTTCCATCCGTCCGTTTTTTAAAACAACATTTCCCACTGTTGTTCACTGTGGTTTGTTGTTGTCTGAAGTCATGAACGTTAGTTGGTGCTCCAGTATAATCGGTACGCCTGAAACTCATCCAGTGAGAAACGTTCCGCGGTGCAAAAATAAGTGCGATTAAAATGCGTTAATTTTTTTAACGCGTTAATTGTTGTGTAATTAATTAATCTTAATTAACGCGTTAAAGTCCCGGCCCTACTTTTAACCTGTTAAACCCCGAGCCTGTTTTTCAGGTTTCAGGCTCGAAAATGACATTCCCAGAACAAATGACCATATCTTCCCTTCTAAAAGGGTTAAATTAATAATATGTTTCTCAAAGTAATGATAAACCTGTGAGTTGGATGTAGAAAAGTCAGATTCAATATAGATGTTTTTTATTTTAAAGAAAATTCAGATTGAACATGGTAAAAAACTGTAAATTATAGTGTCCGTCCAAACAATATGTTGTACTTATAGTGAAAACTAACCTTGGATGATGGGTTAGTAGACTAAAAGCTTTAGGAATCCAAAGTACAACATATAATAAGTACCCTGTATCAAGATTGATACAAAACAAGTGATATTTGACCTTTTTAGACAGATTTAGCAAAAAAAAACCTCTTCTGGGGCTATTTGGGTGGATTTTCCATATCTCTGGCCCCCCTTGCTCGATTTTGACATGTGACATCTCTTTCTGACAGTCAGAGACAATGGAATCGAGGGGAACTCCCACATAGTCCTTATTTGGTCATGTGTATGTGTGAGACTGCTGCATCGCCGAGACCGGAAGCAGCAGCTAGCTGTGGTGGCTACCATTAGCAGCTAGCATTTACTCTCCGATATTTACATACAAATGGAATTATGGATTATAAATTCAATCAGTTTTTTATACATGGACGTTAAGAACCTATGGATTAACAGATTCAGCCGTTTTTTTTCTCCTTTTAATGCCATTGAACACGTACTTTGATCAGATTAACAGCTACTTGTGAGACGATCTCCCTAGAAGCTTCGTAAAGGTACCTGTTGTGATGACTGTATTTGCTTCCCCTGTCGCGAGTCCGGATGACTCAGTGATGATACTATATACCTACATAATCTATGGAGTCTCAGCTTTAATCGGATATATTGTATGTGCAGCTATGATAAGTAATAAGGGTACTTTTATCTTGAGTTCTGTGCCAATGTCCGTTAGCATTTTTCGCTCAGGGGTAATTTAGATGCTTCTTGTGAGACTTGTGTTTTGTTTTGGTAAACATGGTTTGTATCGGCAGTTAGCTGAGATTATTTCCGTTAATCTGGTATAACACATTAATAGGTTCTTAAATATTAAGATCCCCTGAGACACAGTATCGTGAAAAAAAGACCCTGTTCGGGCTTAACAGGTTAAATTACAAACAAAACAACTAAATCGATTTTAAATAGTCTAAAGTTTATATTAATAATAACAAAATACACAGTTTAATACAAATGTATCATAACTGTGAAAAAGTTATGTTTCAAGCTAATACAATATGATATAAATCACCAATAATACTTACATGTGTTTTGTACATTTGTAATGATCAGGAAGTCTTAAGCATATTCTTCATCAATTGTTCCGTTATGAGATTGATGTCATATTCTTTAGGAAATAGTTGACTCTGTTGTGAAATGAATCTAAAACTTGCTTTCTTATTTTACTGATGCATCAAACATCTTGGTGGGAGAACAATTTCACTAAATAAAATACAGTCAAGTAATCCATATTATCCGTTTTATCACTTTGCCTGAATCACATTAACTTTTTTTCTATTGGCATAGTAACAAACTATATTATGGCCTTTTATAATTTTAGTACCGTTTATACTTTTACATTAGTTAAAGTTTATATTCAATGTTCTGTTGTAACATTGTTAAATGAATGGTTCTTGGCTTGATTACCTTTAAAATAATGACATGTGTTAATAAGGATAAACCAATCAAATGACACGTTGGACTAAACTATGCCGTTAAATCTCTATCCGACTGTTTTTCAGTAGGATGGCAAGTTCCTATCTATAAACAATTATTTGTTTTTTCTCATAACAGATTTGATTTTCTGAATTGAAGCTAACGTTGGCGACCATGTAAGGTCATTATTAAAAGGTACAATGAATTTGTTTAGGGTTATTTATGTATGTATTTATTTATAGAAGGACCATGCATACAAATACATTAATCTCAGCAAAGAGAAGAGATGCAATATGTCAGATTATAGCTAATAGCTCATTTCCATCTGTGGTCCTCAGGTTGACTAAAATGATGAAATACATTTTATTTGGATAATTTACTGACAGAATACAAAACTCAATACTGACTTCACCACCTTCAAAGAACTTCACTTCTTCAATCTGGTTTTTAATGTGTGGCTGTTGTTATTGCTTGCTTTTAAAATTTGACTTCAACCATATGTATTTGTTCTTTTCACCATCTCTGTAAAGCGACTTTGAGCACCTGTAAGAGCACTTACAAAATACATCCATTATTATTACTCACCTGTTCATAGTGTTTAAAGTGAACAAGTTATGATGATAGCTTTTAGTACTTAAAACAACCTTCTCCCAAAGTTATTAAGGAATATACGTATCCCTTGTGGCTCTTGGGTTTTAGAACTTTAATAAATATTTTAAATAAATAGTTTGGATGATCCATAATTGACATACGTTGTGTTTACACTGATCTATTGCTCACATTTTAATGTCTTTGTAACTTTAGTAAACAACAACCTTTCTTGTTTCATTCATCACGGTACAACTAACCAAAAATAATATGAACCAGTATCATAATAATGAGTAGGATTGTAACTCTTTGAAAGTGTGAGTGGCTCTTAAAAGAGCCGTTGTGTTTGGGTGTTCTGGTCTCAGGTCAGTCTAAGCTCTCTCCCCACGGATACGACGGGCCAGCTGGATGTCTTTGGGCATGATGGTGACCCTCTTGGCGTGGATGGCGCACAGGTTGGTGTCCTCGAACAGGCCGACGAGGTAGGCCTCGCTGGACTCCTGCAGAGCCATGACGGCGGAGCTCTGGAAGCGCAGGTCGGTCTTGAAGTCCTGAGCGATCTCCCTCACCAGGCGCTGGAAGGGCAGCTTGCGGATCAGCAGCTCGGTGGACTTCTGGTAGCGGCGGATCTCCCTCAGAGCCACGGTACCGGGCCTGTAACGGTGAGGTTTCTTCACTCCGCCGGTGGCCGGGGCGCTCTTACGAGCAGCCTTGGTGGCCAGCTGCTTCCTGGGAGCCTTTCCTCCGGTGGATTTACGAGCTGTCTGCTTGGTTCTGGCCATTATGGTTTCTCAGTGTTCACAGTGAGAGAAGGAGTGCTGTGTTTCTGTGAGCAGCGCCTTTATAAAGGAGCTGCCGGAGCAGGGCAGCGCTGATTGGTGCATGCCGGGAGACACGTGCGCTGAGCAGCTGCTTTACTATTGGACAATGTAATCCACTCCTCCACAGGGGATGATCCTGGGGTTCCTCAAAATGAACTTTTGTTTAGTTTAGGGGGATATAAATATGATTTAAATATAATATAACCCTAACCCTGTCATTTTCTAATGTATAACTATGATTTAATTTGTAGTGAAAAACTCGCCCTGAAATAAAGGAATAATTTAGTCAACAACACTAAACATTTGCCCAAAAGTTAAATATGAGAATGAACATCAGTTACAACCCAAAGGAATGAATTCATTAATAATGTAGTGAGCAGAAACAGTATTTAAATGGCACCAGCTTTTAGTGTGAGTGTAAGACGTCAAATGAATCATGATCTTCTGCAGTAAAATTAGATCACCTTATAAAAGTATTTGAGTTTATTAGTGTGAAAGATGTAGGTATATAGCCTACTTATCCATATGAAATGTATGTGCCCATGTGAATGTTGTGTATATGTATTATGTATTTCACAAGCATTTGCAAAGCATTTTTCGTTTGTGTTTTTGACATTACTGATTGGTGAAATGATTCTCTTCTCTTATTAAACCCCATCACTTTGTATTACAGGTATCAATCATTCAAGGGAGGCTTTAAGTGTCAGAAGAAACACCATGTGGATTGTTGTTACAGCACATTAGAGTTTGTGGTGGCAGAGGGACAACATTTAATAATAAATGTGTTCATGTGTCTCCTCTAAAGATTTGCTAAGATAAAGATTACCACTTAGCATTTTCTCTCAGGATTGCAGTAAAATAACCACCATATTTCCTTCATATTGTGAAATGTATTTATTTTCATTTTGGAAAAACAAACACCAGTGAGGTGGTATAAACACGTATAGTGAAGAATGACAATATTCAATCATGGTTTATCTTGCTTTACAAAGCATTCTGTATAAATAACATTTAAATATTTAGATTTCTGTAGAGTAGTTATAGAGTATAACAGGATGAGCTCTTTGGATGGGTTGGGTGGCTCTTAAAAGAGCCTTTGTGTTGTTGGTATGTCAGCAGCAGAGTTTACTTGGAGCTGGTGTACTTGGTCACGGCCTTGGTGCCCTCAGACACGGCGTGTTTAGCCAGCTCTCCGGGCAGCAGCAGGCGGACAGCGGTCTGGATCTCCCTGGAGGTGATGGTGCGGCGCTTGTTGTAGTGAGCCAGACGAGAGGCCTCACCGGCGATGCGCTCAAAGATGTCGCTCACGAAGCAGTTCATGATGCCCATGGCCTTGGAGGAGATGCCGGTGTCGGGATGGACCTGCTTCATCACCTTGTAGACGTAGATGGCGTAGCTCTCCTTCCTGGACTTTCTCCTCTTCTTTCCAGTCTTGGTGGCGGTCTTAGCGACGGCTTTCTTGGAGCCCTTCTTGGCCGCTTTGACGGGGGGTGCATCAGCAGGCATGATGAGAGAGAGAGGTGCGACAGAGTCGAAATACTTCTTTGTCACAGAGCGGTCTATTTATATTCACCAGATGCAAATGTTACTGTGCTGTTGCTCGCACGGGATTGGTTGTCTTCTGAGCAGGACGGCGCATGCGCTTAACGAGTTTTAGAATCAAAACAGATTGGATGACATGTAAAATGAACACCTCATTGATTATGTATTTGTATTATTGGGGTTTTATAATGTGGTGTACATGAATAAATCAACAAATCGGTTGGGATCAATGTCCTTTTAACTCTTTCATATGTTTTTAACTATGTATAACGTGGACAACAGAGAAACACATATTTTTCATGACCGTTAGAATTTAAATAAAAACGTGAGGTGAAAGTGATGCTTGTCACCCTCTAGTCCACACGTATTAATCCACATGAATCCCAATACGTATGATTTTAAGATCCTAAAATAAATACAAATGTATTCATTATAAGCGATTTAGTCCTTAATATCCCGGTGTATTTCACCATTAAAACATATTTCAAAAGTTTAAGAAACCCCACACAGCTGGAAGCAGAAGTTTTTGGAGCAGTCATGGTTGTGTAGACTTTATCCTCTACGAACATATCATTGGATGTCGGATAAACAACATTGTGAAATGGTCTACATTTTTAATATCCAGTATCCTAGCAAGAATTTCGGATGGAATTTAGGTTCGATATAAAGTTCATCAAAAGGAATGTCTCTTTTTGAGTAATGTGGGTGGCTCTTAAAAGAGCCGTTGTTGTTCCAGGTATGTCAGGGTGTAGATGTTTAACCTCCGAAGCCGTACAGAGTGCGGCCCTGCCTCTTCAGGGCATACACCACATCCATGGCGGTCACCGTCTTCCTCTTGGCGTGCTCGGTGTAGGTGACGGCATCACGGATCACATTCTCCAGGAAGACCTTCAGCACCCCGCGGGTCTCCTCGTAGATCAGACCGGAGATACGCTTCACTCCGCCGCGGCGAGCCAGACGGCGGATAGCGGGCTTGGTGATGCCCTGGATGTTATCACGGAGAACTTTGCGGTGACGCTTGGCGCCTCCTTTGCCAAGTCCCTTTCCTCCTTTTCCTCTTCCACTCATTTTTAAGGTATTGTTATGTCGGCTAGTTTAGAATGAATGAGTAGAAGCAGAGTGACCGGCAGTATTTATATATTCGCTGCGGACCTAAGAGAAGACGGAGAGCGGGAAAGCGGCTGGGCGGGGCCAACGCTGCAGCCTCCACATTATCTTTCAAAACATTTTCTCTTCCTTCTAATATTGTTTATATAATTCAGTCAGGCTTTATACTAAGCATTTGATGATTAAACGTGTGTTAATATGTACTAAAACCCTCACATGCTTAATAACATTTATAATTTAAATAAGAGCCTTTCTGAGATTAACATTACATTTAAAGTTGATCAAAGTATAACAAAAATACTCTTTATAGGAGACTTTCATTCTGTTTCTGATGAGTCAAGACATTCATTTGTATAAAACACGTCAACAATTTGACATAAAAGTAATAATTAGTCCAATAGAAACACCTGAATGTATACACTGTATGTAGGTTTGGGTGTGTGACCATCAAGAAATGTACCAAATTGTTCATGTTAAATATAAAATATAAAGTAACAGACAAATAACCATGGACTTCTTCAACTTATAACATATTTCAGCTCTCACAAAATGTTATAAGTTTGGTGAATTAAAGCTTTTAATTTACACATTTAAAAGATACTTTAGTAGAGAAAACTATTTATTAGAAAATGGTATTGCCTCATGGAAACAGTTTTGACAGATTGTATTTTTTAAAAGAAAAGAAAAACAATATAACTACTGTTTAGCTCTGATAATGATATGCTATCGTATCGAGTCTTTAGAAGGGTTTAGATAGAAACAATTAGAAGGGTCAAACTCCTTTTCTGAGAGTATGATTACGATTCAAAAAGTATTTATTCATCCAGTTTATACTTCTGACAGAAGATTAAAACAAAACATATTCATGATTTGTGTCACTTATGAGATTGAAAGATAAGTCGATTTCATTAATCATATAGAGACATGCCTCGAAAGGAAATGTTTGGAATAGGTGTTCAGATGCAGTGGGTGGCAGAGCCTTTGTGTTGTTGGTATATCATAAGAGGTAGATTCACTTGCAGGTCTACAGTAGAGCCAAATGAAAACAGGGCATACAGTGCCATGCACAAGTATTCACCCCCTTGGCTCTTTTTCTATTTTCTATTATTAAAGCCAATAATAATTCAATATTTTGATTGGGATTTTATGTCATAAATCTGCACAAAGTCAGTCAAGATTGGTGAAGTGAAAATAAAAATGATCCTGTTTTAAACAATGAAAAACTGAAAAGTTGTGTGTGCACATGTATTCACCCTCTTTGCTATTTAGCCCCAACACTGACCTTCAGAGTCAAAACATTATTTAAATAAAGCTAACTTAACCCGTGTGCAATGAAATGTCTGATTATATCTGTATGTATACACTTGTTGTAGAAGGCCCAAATCTCCCACACCACTTAACAAGTGGCAATACTTAGCAAGAAAACGACACTATGAAGACTAAGGAGCTCTGCAAACAGTTCAGGGACAAAGTTGTGGATAAGTATAAATAAGGTTGGGTTATATAAAAACCTCACAAACTTTGTACATCCCACGAAGCACGATTAAATCCATTATTTCATGATGGAAAAAATATGCCACGACAACAAACCTGCCAAGAGAGGGCCGACAACCAAACACACTGTGCAAGGTGAGCATTGATCAGAGAGGCAACAAAGAGGTCATGGATAACCCTGAAGGAGCTGGTTAGCACCACAGTAGAGAGAGGAGAATCTATAGGACCACAGTAAGCCGTACACCCCACAGAGCTGGGCTTTATGGAAGAGTCGCCAGAAAGAAGCCATTGCTTAAGGAAAAAAACAAGAAAACACGTTTGGAGTTCACTAAAAGCCATGTGGAAGATTCCCCAAAATGGATGTGCCAAGCTTATAGACACATACCCCAAGAGACTTGCAGCTGTAATTGCTGCTAAAGGTGGCTCTACTAAGTATTGACTTTGGGGGGATGAATAGTTATGCACGCAAACGTTTTTTCTTATTCATTATTATTTCTTGTTTTTTTCACAATGAAAAATATGTTTTGCATCTTCAAAGATTCATGTTGTGTACATCAATAAAAACAACATCTGCAAAAATCAAATTGAATTAAATGTTGTTGTGCAATAAAACAAGAAAAAGGCCAGGGGGGCTGAATACTTTTGCAAGGCACTGGAATGACACAGAAGGATGGAGCAAGTATGGAGCCAAGACCACTCCATAGTGTTACTAAACTGCAGGACAATAGTATATAATATTGTATATAAATGGTAAGTTATTGCAGCATTTTATCCAAAATTCTGAGCCGACATTTCTCTTCGATTGCTTCGAGCAATAACAATTCTTCATGTGTATCCACAGAAATTCAGTTTGCAGGGAAACCTATGTTCAAAGTACATTAGTGCTGACTTAAGAGAACTTAAGGGTCCATATTTGATAAAGGAAATATTTATAAGAATTAGTGATACTAAAATGTGAACAAATCCACAATTTCTCAGGATGTGATAATGGTAAGATCCTGTGGATTATGGTAAACATTAAAACATAGGATAAAACATTTATTTAAATTCAAATGTAGAGAATTAAATAAAGCTACAAATAGTAAATATGTTACTCTAATCAAACAGTATATTATTTTAAAACAGATTCAAGTTAAATCTAAAACGGGTGAAGAAAATATTTCTAATTTGAAAACTGACTAAACCGGGAATTATCATAACAAATCTGAAATATATAATAGAGGAAACTTAACTTATGCCATTAACGTTTAAGTTAAATTAAACAAGAAATAAAAATACTTGGTTTGACTGTAATGAAAACTGTGCTGACCTAAATTGGGAGAATAAACTGATTGAACCCCTCCCAAATAATTAAATAAAATAACAAACACGTACATTTGGTGTGGGGCACAACGAGGGAGGTTACTCAACGTAATTTATTATTTAAAAGAATGGAATATGGAGGCGTATTTGGAGACGTAGACCTAGATATTAAACTTAAAATGACTTTTGTTAAAATGTTTACAGCGGCAATATCAAGGAAAGCACCCTGGGTTGGGGATAAATCAAGGTGGACAAAAAGGAGAGGTAGAGCAAGACATGGCTCATATTACAAATTAGTATATGCTGATTTCATAAATGAATATACACCTTTTAATGGAATGGACTTCCAAGTATATATATATATTTGTTTTAAATAAATGAATACAAATATGGTGGATATATTCTATCACTTATTGAAAGCCCCAAAGTGTTTTCTTCTGCGTCCCTTGTATGTGTAAAGGAATATTTTAGTCTGATGCTTAGCTGACCTGAGAAACTTCACATGAGTGACTACTCTTTCTCTGTGTGGGTGAGGGGCTTGGGGCACTTAAGGAGGGGCAATATATGCAGTCTTTGTCCTTGGTGTCTGGTAATGATTAGGGGAAAGGGCGGGCTGTTTAGACCCCTCCTTTAAAAGATATATAGATATGTTTCTGTCTTTTGTGTTTAGAGTTAATTTTGGCAGCTTGCATTCAACAGTGCGAGTTGCTTTGTTAATCCTCCGGCCGTTTTGTCTCTCAATAAATATCAGTGCATTGACTAAGGCGAATCCAGTTTCCCTCATTTCATGATTGGCTTAACATTGCTGCAAAGAAGTTTTTACTTCACAATTGGCGTCGCGAACAATTACCAACAGATCGTCGAGCTGGTGAGTGTAATTTAAAATCTATATTTGGACATTGCCTCGCCAGACTCTGTGATTGACGTTATCAAAAATTACCTGTGGAACAGACAGATGCAATTTTTTTGGTTTCCTCTGTGTGTGTGCACGGCTAATATTCGGAGAGACCTTAAAGAGGGCATCAGTAATGTGGAACTTCTGTTCAAAAGAAATGTAGATTTGTATTGAAACAAATCGCCGAATTCTGGAGACTTCAGCGGTCAAAACTGTTTTAATCAACTCCTGTCTGCTGCTCTTGGGAGAGTGTGTGTGTAGCTTCCCTAACCCCCCTGCGGAGACCAGCAGGAGAGGAGAAATTATAGGTTTATAAGCACAGTGTTATAACATTCTCTTCCTCGCACCATCGTCGTCTTGGAACTAAACAAATCGGCATAAATGGGAAGGGCGGTACGCGAGAATGTGACATAGGGCTATATATTTTTATAATTTTTTTTCATCGTTGTAAGAAATTGATGGGTTGCTAAATTCGGCTGGATATAGACAGCCTTTGTTCTCAGGAGAGAGGGGACAAACCACTAAATTAGCATAGTGGTTGGTGATTGAGAATAAAGTAGTTATTGCTCTTCAGCAGATTCCGTTCTTAGCACTTGTACAAGTATATATAAGTAAGAAGGTACTCATATTCAATATATTTCCCAACCCCCGCTGAAGTATTTTTATTCGGATTAAATTAAGCTGGATGAGTTTAGCTGTCACCTGATATTTGTTGCGGGTTCATGTTTGTTTGTATAATTGTTTCGTGTTTGTTTGTCTACCCGCCGTCTTGTGCATGCTTTGTAACAACTAATAATGAATCAGTCCACAGCCAAGGTAAAATGAACTAAACTTTAGTTATCTCACCAAAAGTAAATGACTTGAGAAAAATGGATGATGTAGGGATGTAAAGCAAAATTATACATTGTAATATACATTTCTGCAAAAGGAAAATAAATAGCAAAAGATTGTTTTTATGTCCTGCATCTGTCTTACACCCGGGAACCTCAGAGGCATCACTGCGGGTCATAAATACCAAGCCTGAGGAAATCAGGGTTAAAAAATAAATAAATAAAAAATCTGTCTGCTCAATTAGGTCAATGTTGTATTATTTGTTTCATTTATTCTTAATCTATGTATTGTATGGTATTAATGAAAAAAAAAAAAAACGTAATGTATTGAACACATTCCGAAACAAAGCAGATAAGAAACCCTTTTTAAACCCTTTTGCACTGTTGCTGCAAAATGAAAACGTTTTCATTATCTGTTCCAACTGGCCACTGGAATAAGATAATTGATATAAGTTGAAGT